GGGGGGAGAGATTGAATATGAATTAATGAAATGTCTGGGCACAACCCACAGTGGTTGTTGTAGGAAATGTGGGAAAGGCGCAGATGCTGTGTGTGAGGTGAGGCAGAGCAGAGCAGTGTGTGTGATGTGTTAGGAGGTTGGGGCGTAGCCGAAAAGCCAACTGTCTTCGTCGGGCTTGCGAGACTTTCGTTTCGTTGCTTCCCTGCCTGAGATAAACGAAAAAAATAAAAACCAAGGGAGGCTCATTTTTTACTTTTCATCGCTCGACAAACTTCAGTTCTACTCTTACGGTCGAAAAATCGGCGCTTATAACCAAGAGGGTACACCAGCTTTTCAATATGTGCCTTTGTTTTTTTTTCTTTCACATATTCACAGACGTGTTAGACTCTGCAAATCTTCTGAATTCCTGTTAAGTACCCTGTAAACTCCTGTCAAGCTTGGCGAGGTGACACTAGCGTCGTTTGAACGCCATTCCTAAACTTTCTTCGAAATCTTGACCAGTCATTTGAACAGGTTTGACAACAGTTTACATATCGCTTGACAGGTGATAACAAGACTCACAGGGTGTTGACAAGGTTGTCGTACATGTTTACAGTTTACAGTGTTTGCTATGCTGACAAGCGCTTGCAGATGTTCCCCCCTAAGGTTACTAGATTCTAAAAATTCTCTCAATAAAGTAGTGATATATGATTTTCGAGATATTCGTTGCAGTTTCATATTCCACTGTTAATGGACTTAATTTGAAGGCTGATTATTTTATTATTCAATAAAATTTATTAAGGGGGTCAATTCAAAGAAGTAGTTCAGTTTCCGTTTCTCACGTGCCCTTCCAAGTTGGAGCTCGCATGCTAAATGATCCGAGAAATCACAAATGAGTCGTGGTTTTTCCAATAGAAACGTTCGTTGGGGTCAAACACGAGGCGCAACACTCTGCACAAAGGAGTACGGCATCGGGATGGGAGGAATGGCGGTGTCAGACAATCCCCGCCCCCCAAATTTCTTCTCCAGTACAACTCCCCTCCCCATTCCCCCTTCCAATCCTACCTAACACGTTCCCAAGCCTTCCCAACTTTCTGGCCACTTTCTCATTTTTTCTCCAGAATTTTGCCGTCAAGCGGCTGATTGCAACGATATCCCCTGAATTACGTTCCTTAGTTCCCCCAGCTTCCTACCCCGAGAAATTTCCCATCTCGCTCAAAAAAGGAAAAAATGCAGTCGAGTAGGTGGGAGAGTTTGACCAACGACTTTCCAACCGCGACTAATACCACCTATCTAAAATAGTAGCTGTATAGAACGTTGATGGCGCCACCCACTAGGCAACCAGAGGAGGGTTCTCGCGACTCTGGAGCCAGATACCCTCGCTCGACTGAACACGACCTCCCTCCCAATAACCGAATACGATCCCCTTGATGGGATTCTCCCAACGATCTTTAGCTCAGTTTTTTTCCCTCAGGATATTTCTTTATGTGTACGAAGAAGAAATGAGAAGTACGAAAGCACTTGTTTGAAAGACGTGAACAAGTTTTAAAGTGTGACGTCGCCTCTGGGAAGAAACGGAGCCATACGTTCGCGCGCGCGACATCGCGTCGCCGTTCGCCGCGTGCATATGATCCCAGTGACCCCTCACAAAGTACAGTGATTTATTCGCTATTTGTCCGCGATCAATAGCCATTTCCAACCCCGATACGGGGGATCAACTTCAAAGATTTTTTCTAGCATTGCAATGCTCATGTTGTGGTCGATTAAATGTTGGGAAAAAACATAATAAAGGAAATCAATGTCGGCGAAAACGAAATAATTTCAACAAAAGAGGTGATCGGAGTGGGATGAAAAGGGAGAGAGAGAAAGTTGGCCGTAATCATTTACAGATTTGTGAGTTGATTGATCGCTGCCGGCCTTGATCAAAAGCACATGAACATCTGTTACGGGACGCTTTCAAGCGCGAATTCGTATCAGCTACAGAGGGGATTGACTGGGGAGCAACGAAGAGGACTTACAATCAGGGCAGGTCTCGCTGTTGGGGAAAATTTTTGCAAATCAGTACTCTCCCCCACCTCGTAAGTCTCCTCTAATACGACCCGCATCCCCATCCCTCTACCATCTCCTGAATGGTGCAGCTAAACCCTGATCAAATTTGCACTCATATTTCTTCTTAATAAAGGAAAAGTTTTCTTTATAGTTAGTGTTGACCCAAATCCATCCAGATGAAACTCATTTCCTCCTCACTTGCCCCGAAGCCCCAAGGGTTCCAAAGTTTGCATGTTTTTCAGTGATACACGACCCAGAGGACCAGTGCGAAATGCGACAACACCTCGCCACTACCTCTGCGTGGGCGTTGGGTGCGGGGCCCATTCATAGAGGAGACCAATCAATGCCTTACTTGCTATTCACTTCGAAGAGAGAATGCCTTTTCACGCATATGAGGTAACTAAACGAAGTTCCCTGTAATCATATGAGAGGAATCGACTTTTCGGGTTGCTCGGGATTTCCCTCCAAGAAATTTCCAGCGCGCTAATTCTTAAGCTAGTAGAGCGACACCCTGTTTCAGGAGATTCCTAATGAAATGGTAAGCGCCAGATTGTGAGCTATCAGCGGAAGGGCGTAGGAGAGCGGGATTAATTCGTCGCCCCCTCCTTCAGGGATTTACGCTAATGAGTCCCACTGGGATACGATGCGCATCCAACTCCCACTTAGCATCAAAAAAAGTGTTTTGATGCGTATCTGGCACTTGCGAGACTATTTCAATCAACAGTTAGATATTTGTTTACAGAATATACATAGAATAAGGGAGCGGCAAGACAGTTGGGAAGGGTTGTAGTTGTCGCTTGTCCCAACAGGCTCAGCCTTATCGTAAAAAGAGCGTAGACTACCTACCCTTCCTCTAGGCGACTACGATAGTCCCGAATAATGGACTGAGT